GGCTAAAGGTAGCAATAAATTGCTATTTATTAATAAAACCCAATACATTAAGATTAAATACATATGTTTTGAGTTCTTTCACAACCAGTGGATAATTCTCACTGAGGTCTTGTCAGGGTGTACATACAGCAAACATTAATGTTAAAAATTAGTTAATATGAAAAAATTTAAAAGGTACTTATATCTGGAAATTTGAATTGTGACTCCTGATTATGGTACTATGAGACACTTATCACTTCAAGTGACTTGACGTCTGTAACTTATCAATTTAAATTTTCCCCATACCTACGCGTTTCAGTGATGACCTGACAACATTTCTGTAGATGTTGATCAGCATTTGAACATACTGAATTCTGAATCTCTCATGCAACTGCCAAAAGGACAGTAACAACATCCAGTAATGAATAAATTCCTATAAAGTCTGGTTTTATTTGTTTCTTCACTGACAATGTATGATGCTACAATGAATTAATTTTCACTACTTACCAAGACATGAAGAAGAAGAGTTTGGTAGCGAGATGCAAGCTGTGTAGCCTGGCTTCCCATTCTACCTGCAGTGAGACTCTCTTCTAGTATTTGCTGAGCCAATACCCCAACTTCCTCCACATCATCTTTGTAGATTGTAATTTCTTCATGCCACTTCTATAACAAAGACATTATCCAGCTTATATGATTGATTCAAACCTCTTAAACACAACAGGAATTTATTTGTAACCAAGTCAGGAAATCATTGGAAAGGAAAACAAATACCTGGTGGTAAACATGGATTTGCAACAGGAAAATAAAAGAGAATCTAATGAAGGTTATTGTAACAAATATGTGGGAAGTTTTACCATACCATATGGACAGCATTTCATTACAACAGATTTAAGGTGGTAGGTTTTAACGGTTGGTTGGTTTGGTTTGTGTTTGTTTTTTACCCCTAATAATAACAGAAATGCAACTTGGACTTCCAACAGAATTTGTCCAAAGTTTTAAAGGTGACTGTAAAACACAACCTTGGATTTCTCCAAATTTGCTTCCTGTGTTTATTCAGAACCTTGTCTTCTCCTTGCAGTGACTAAAGGAGAATTATTACATCAACACAGCAGAGATTTCCCAACACAGCTGGTCACATTTTATTCTTGTCACCACATTAACATTTTCCCACGCCAGGACCAATCTTTGTCCTCAGTTAGGCCTTCACATACTACAGAGTATATGAATTTCAGATCTCCCTGTAAGATTTCAGCATTGGTATAGCTATACCTCTACCAGCAAAATGGGACGAGTCCGGACCCAGAGAAGGCATGAAGCTGTCTTGGATCCATTATTCTATGCATTACCTTGGAAAAATGCACCACTTGCACAGTGCAACCAGGAACTCATGTGGAAACTTCACAAGGTATCTTAAGGAATGCCTTAAGTATATTCTCTACCTTCATTTGCTGAAGCTGCATTTCCTTTGTTGCTCTATCAGACTGCCTCTGAGTCCTGATAGCCACTTTCTCCTCCAGGTCTGTCAGCCAATCATTAACCTTCTGGAATTTTTTCTCCATTAACCTCAGTCTGCTCACAGTGGTGTTTAATTGGCTTCTTGCTTCAGAAAGCCTGTGCTGATAAACTTGCCAGTCCTGCCGTAAGGATTCCAGGGCTCGGTCTTCTATCTGGGGAATGCCCCAGGGAATCACCTCCTCTCTGGCGTGGACAGCAGCATTCAATAATGCTTGTCCTTCTGCACAGTGGACCTGCAGCTCCTGTAAAGACAGCTTTCATTCACACATGACAAATACAGTCCTGGTTTTTCTTAAGACAATAACAGTTACCTCATGTTACTTAGATATTCTCTTTAGTTATCTAGGGTTGAACACATATTACACTATCTCTCAGAACACGTACGATGGTCACTTACAAAACAAACCGAGTATCACTATTGTTGACAAGCAAATGGGAGAAAATTATTGACAAAGCATGCTTTAAATTCTTTCCCCCCCTGTTCTGAAACAGTAAAATCAGTTCTGAAAGATCAAATGCTACAGGCTTGGGGAGGTGTGACTGGAAAGCTGCTCAGCAGAGAGGGACCTGGGGGTGCTGCTGGCCAGGTATAGCCAAGGCGGCCAAGAGCATCCTGGCCTGTATGAGGAATAGTGTGGCCAGCAGGACCAAGGAAGTGATTTTACCCCTGTACTCAACACTGGTGAGGCTGCATCTTGAGTATTTTGTTCAGTTTTGGGTTCCTCACTACAAGAAGGACACTGAGATACTAGAGTGTGTCCAAAGAAGGACAATGAACCTGATGGTCTAGAGCACAAGTGTTACGAGGAGCGAGGAGCAGCTGAGAGAACTGGGATTCTTTATGCTGGAGGAGGCTGAGGGGAGACCTTATCACTCTCTACAACTACCTGAAAAGATGTTATAGTGTGGTGGGGGTTGGTCTGTTCAACTAAGTAACAAGTGATAGGATAAGAGAAAATGGCCTCAAGTTACACCAAGTGAGGTTTAGCTATTAGGAAAACTTCTTTACTGAAAGGGTTATCAGGCATTGGAATGGGTTGCCCAGGGCAATGGTGGAGTCCCCTGCCCTGGAGGTATTTAAGAGCTGTGTACACATAGTGCTTAGTGATATGGTTTAATCAATCACTTGTCAGTGACAAGTTAATGGTTGGACTCGATCTTAAAGGTCTAGTGGGAGATGTCCCTGCCACCGCAGGGGGGTTGGAACTACGTGATCTTTGAAGTCCCTTCCAACCCAAATCATTCTATGCTTCTACAATTCTATGAACTAGGTAATCCTCTGATTCTTTGATTCTGTGATTAGCTGCCTGAGCTGACATGGGATGGATGCAATCCATTCGGCATAGCCTTAAATTCAAAACTGTCCAGCTGTGGCAAGCAGGCTGTAAGACTGACTCTGAAACTGAATCTGTTTAAAAATAGGGAACAAGGTGAGGCTTTAGTCTTTTAATTTAAACAAATATTTCCTTTTACATACATTTGAGACAAAATTCCAAACCAATTCTTGATACTGTCTTCTGGACATGCGTGGCACTTTCATGCTTATTAGAACTATGAAGGGATTCAATCCAACTAGAGCACATAACCAGGAAATTACCTTAATGAAATACAGTTGTGTGTCATCTTAGTTTATATTTGAGATATATTCAGATCTGCAGAGTGGAATCAGATTTTGCAAACTAAACTATAATAACAAGACTTATTTGCAGAGTCCCTGATCAGACAAAGACATTCTCATTATCCTGATTAAAGTAATAAATATTTTGTAACTCAGAGACCTTTTGCAACAGGTATGAAAGTACTTTAAGTCAGCTTAAGATCATAACTGGGAAATTACTGAAGTACTACGGGTTCACCCTTCACTGTCACCTAAATGACTCAGTAATAGCCTTCTCACTTCACTATGGGAGCTAGCCTGCATGACTTGAACTGACTGAAAGAAAATGTATATGCACTGTAAGCAATAAAAGATGAAAATCCAATGAAAAGAGTACATTTGATATTTTAAGAAATAAAGGGACAAGAAGAGGTAGGCCAACATCTAAAGCAAATTCACTACTTGCAAGAAAATGTTAGTATGCCTGCACATTTCATTCAAAGCCTGACAGTTCTTTCTGGAAATTAGTGTTCCAACTGACTTCACTGGAACCACTTGTGAGCAGCAAAGTACTTAAATGTAATGTGATTCCAAGCTGTTCTCGAGACAAAAAAAGAGAAGTGTAGTAATTAATATTATTCTGTTATTTACAAGTAGGATTTTTTTTTACTTCTGGTGTCACACATAACTTACCTGTAAGTCTTGGAGTGTTGCCTCCTGTTTTTGGGCATCACCATCAAGATGTGATAAACAGTCAAGTTTTTCCTGCTCCTTCTCCAGCCATACTTCAAAAGCCTTCAGATTTCTTTGGTACTCTTGATGCAAGTTAAGGAGACCTTCAGCTTTTGCTACCGCCTCCTGCTTGTTAAAATATTTACATATATGTATATAGGTATTAGTGTAGATCAAACCAAGAAAACATAAAACCCAGACTTCCCTCAAGAGGAAAAGTATGTATCTGATGCTCAGCTTTCCTAGATTTTAGGAGGACTTGGATTTTGAGGATGTTTTAATCAATTACAGGGAAAGGGGGAGCAAATGTGAGGATACAGATACTTATCCTAAAAGATTATTCACTGAGTTCACTTTTAAGTAACACCTTAGAGTCTAGTAGCAAAAGACCTTAATTTTTATACCAACTTAACTTTACTGAATTTCTTAATAAGAGTAAATATGCAATAGAAATTGTATATTTTTTCTTTACATGATTTTTTTTTTGGCTAATGGAATAATAATCTTCTATTAAAAGCAGCTGGTATCTTTATGTTTAGAGATGACTCCAGTCCTTTGCAGGCAGTTGCTACAGAGTAGAGCAAGAAACAGACTGTAAGTCTGTGTATGTGAGTGAGCAAGTTATGATGATTTCACAAGCCAGCACTAAAATATTAACACATCTAGGGTACAGCAAGAAAAGCATTACATATTGGCACAAGACTAGTCTTTCTAAGCACCAAGAAAAGTACACTATGTGTAATTCATGTCCTTTAAAAAATTTTGGGAATGGGTAATCAAGTTCTGATGGAGGCAAGACAAGCTGCATCACAGGACAACAAGCTACGTAAGAAGAAAAACACTTTCATAAGCAGCAGCCATGAACCTATTGTCTCTGCTTTACCTACTTCTAACAGGTCTGGGTAGTGGAAAGAAGAAAAGAGGAGTGCTATCCATCTTTTGCAAGGTCTGTCCACACCCAGTAGTGGAAAGAGGGAAAAGTTCTCTTGCCTCTTGACAGTGGCTACAGTGAATTAATGGTTTTGTTCTGCTCAGATTTGGGCCAAAAAACCTTGGAGAAGCTTGTCAAGTTTCCTAGCTGGACAAAAGATTATGAAAAGATTTTACTATTCCTTACTTTTCGACTATTTGCTTTGAACTTTGAATTTCTTTCTAAAGGTTGAATATACTCTTGACATTTAACACAGGTAGGCAGTGGGGAAGACGAAAGTCATCTGAGGTATTAGGTGGGAAGAGAAAGAAGGAATGCTTCTTGCTACATGAGGAAGGACGTACAGAGCATTTGACACCGCACTACTGTCCATCTCTCATCAATCCCATGCTGTTGCTCAGGCTGAACAAATACAGTGTCCATGGCTTTGTGCAAGAGAAAAAGGCAAAGGTGAGAGGATCCTTACACTAACAAGAATATCAGGTATTCACTAGCACTTCCCAGGACTTACTCAACTCTTGCAATCCTGAATGACTTTATTCACAGAAGGTCCAAAGACAGACCATGTGACTCATTCATAGAATCACAGAATTGTTGAAGCTGGAAAAGACCTCCGAGTCCAACCTATGACCCAACATCATCACATCGGCTAGACCATGGCAATAAATGCCACATCCAGCCTTAAATGCCTCCAGGGACGGTGACTCCTCCACTGCCCTGGGCAGTGCATCCCAGTGCCTGATCACCCTCTCCGTGAGGAAGGGCTTCCTGAGATCCAACCTAACCCCTCCCTGACACAGTTTCAGGCCAGGCCCTCTCGTCCTGTCACTGGTTGCCTGAGAGAAGAGCTCGACCCCCACTTGACTACACCCTCCCTTCAGGCAGTTGTAGAGAGTGATCAGGTACCCCCTGAGTCTCCTCGTCTTCAGGCTAAACCCCCCCAGCTCCCTCAGCCTCTCCTCACAGGACTGTCCCTCCAGTCCCTTCCCCAGCCTCGTTGCTCTCCTCTGGACCCGCTCCAGCCTCTCAATGTCTTTCTTGCAGTGAGGGTCCCAGCCCTGCACACAGGGCTTGAGGTGAGGCCTCATCAGGGCTGAGCACAGGGGCAGAATCACATCCCTGCTCCTGCTGGCCACACTATTCCTGACACAAGCCAGGATGCCACTGGCCTTCCAGGCCACCTGGGCACACTGCTGGCTCATGTTCAACCGGTTGTCAACCAGCACTCCCAGGTCCTTCTCTGTGGGGCTGCTCTCCAGCCACTCCCCTCCCAGTCGGTAGCACTGCAGGGGGCTATTGTGGCCAAAGTGTAGGGTCCTGCACTTGGTCTTGTTGAACTTCATACCATTGGCCTCTGCCCATTGACCCAACCTTCCGGCAGATTGACCCTCCCCCCCAACCTGGTGTCATCTGTGAACTTACTAAGGGGATGTTCTTTACAGTTGTGGAAGAGAGTACTACAAAACAGTGAATTAATCACTTATGTGTTTGAAAATCAAACACTTAGGTGTGTTTGAAAAAATCAATCACTTACGTGTTTTTATTGTTGAGGCAACAAAATTCAATTTTACTACACTGCTGTCATGAAGAAAAGTTGCCTGAGCATACATTAGGCCTTATTTAATTACCATAGAGGAATATGTATTAACTATAGACAATCACCTAGCTTTAAATGTATCACCAGGTCTTTTTTTATTTCTTCTTTTACAGGAAAATCCATCTTGATCTCTGTCTGTGCCCTAATCTTTTCTAGATCTATGCTATTAGCATTTATCAGTAAATGTAGTGCTTATTGTACTGTGTCTTTGGACATTAGAGTCAGTTTACCTGCTAATAAGCCTCTGCAGTTGTCAATCATTTGTGTATTACCTGACTGGTTGCATTTATGGCAAAATATACATTTATGCAAATCACATACTGCGAGATGTTTCCAGCTTTTCAGTTGCAATGGGTAAAATCATATTCACACTGAAGTCGATGAAACTTTTGACATGCAATTCCTCAGACTATTCACCTGATGATTTTTTCAGATTCAGATACTTAGAACCTTTCTGAAAAAATCTGTAGCTCAGTGGTACCACAAGACAGATTGATAAATCACTGTAGTAACATCCTATTACATTAAGTTACAGCTGCCTCCAAACTTTTACTCCTTAATTAACTGTATAATAAACGATCAATCAAAAGACTTTCTTCTTGTTGCCAACAAAACAAGGGGGAGTGCTAGCAAGAAAAACTGTACCCTCGTTCTGTCTTTAAGGAACTTATACCGCTCCTGAAGGTCCTGGAGTTCAAGCTGAGCAAGATAATGCTCAGTCATCCCACTTCCTTTCATTTCAATTGTCTCCAACAGGCTGTTGTGACTCAACACCTCTTCACTGAGTAGCTACAAGACAGAAAGGGAACACCACATTTAAGAACGGGCAGCATCAAAACAAGACCACAGATTACTCTTGCCTCTTACTTCAGTCTTCTTTGTGATATGGGCTTGCTGCTCATTTGTTGTAAAGCAAACACACCTTTGCTTTGCCGAGGGCAGATGTCTTCTCCCTCAGTTCAGCATACTGCCTTTCAGAAGCATTCATACTTGCTTCTACTTTATCCATCCAGCTAGAAAACTGACGAACATCATCCTGGTAACTTGTCCATTTGGAGAGAGATCCTTCCAGTTGACTGTAATTTAAAAATACATATTTGTTGTGACCATAAGCAGTTATTCCAGACCATATTTGTAAGAAAGATATGTCACAAGCTAAGCAGTCTGAGAAAGAGTTGTTAAAACCCTACAGGTTTTAACTAGGAGCACTGTTTGGCTGGTAAAGAGCCATTTCAGTTTTCCAAACTTGGAATATTAGGAAGGTCTGCAGGTCATGTAGCTAGCTGATGTGTTCTAGCTTTAGTAAACAAAATGCTACCAAAAGCATAAGATCCAGAATCAGAAATTTTCCGTTCCTTTGCATACATTCAAAAGTTGCTACATTCTAATGTTTAACTGCCTTTGTTGTTTTAAGTGGAACTATTTTAAACTACTAAAGCTCTACCAAAGGTGGCTGCATTTTTTCTTTATCACTTTGAGCATCTCTATTGGACACTGTAGTTACACTGCCCTAGCAAGTGGAAAACCAGAGAGGATCTTGACAGGGCAACTATTAGTTGCTGTGAGAAGATCTTCCAATTTCTGAGAACAACTCAAGGCATCAGGTGCAACTCAAAGTAGAGTATGAACTCTTAAGAGTATAACCCACTTTTAAGAGTATATTGACAATAAATGTTAACAAAACTTAGATCACTCACGGTGCTCCACTTTCTTTCTACTTGAAATTAATGTCACTTCAGGCCTCTAGACTTGCAATTTTAGGCACATTGAGTCATTTTATACAATTCTGACTCTTGTAATAATAGGACACTGGGAATTAACTTTTCAAAAATTTTGACACTGCTTTATTGCTAAGCATCATTCTACACCTCATACCCTTTTTACCTCTTGCACTGGATACAAGCAGACAGAAGAGAAGCCCAGCTGTCCTTCAGGTTTTGCAACTGCCGTTCAATCACAGGCACTCCATCCAAAGAAGTATTTTGCAGAACAGATTCTCCTCTTGTCAGAACCATCTTCATTTGGATTTCTTTTTCTTGTTTCACAGCAAGCAGTCTCTAAAAAGCGAGCGGATTTTATTTTACTTTTATCATTAACTGGGCATGAATATACTAACTGGCTTTACTGGAAAATGAGCTGATCAAATTTAGCAGATCGAACAAGCAGTCAACTGCAAGAGGGACACTGGGGTTCACAAAAGAAAAGTGATTTTGAAAGGGTAGGTTTAGGCCATTAAAAAAAGGTTTTAGCTGACAGAAGACTTTTCACAAACTCTGCAGGTACTTGCAGTATATCAGAGAGGGCACTGTTGGGTGAAAAAGCTGACATTCCAGAGGGAATGTCATTTAGATGGAAAACAGGAGAATTCATTCACAGAGAAAACAAGTTGTGATGTCAAAGCTGTTCTACAGGACTGAAATACAGTTCTACAACTCTAAGACATATTTGCACCACAAAGGTACCAACACATAAACTCAACAGACTACCAAAAACATTGGCTTAGAGATTTCAGCTCCTGGAGCTTCGCAGTTGCAAACTAACAGGTACTAACAATATGCACAGCTGTGAAAAGCCTAGAAGCATGAACAAAAGACAAATCATAACTTTAGAATTTTGCTACAATCTCTTGTTTTAGGGTGTATTCTTGTCGTTTTGAGGACTTGTCCACATTTTGGTCACTGCTCAGAATCCAAGATACCAGTAATATGAAAAGTATTATTTTCTGACTACTGCTCTTCAACACCTTTTGTGCAGTGATATTAATAGATGCTATTTTCTTAACCGCAGTCACCCTTTTTCAAGTAAACTAATACAGGAAAAGCTGTTCCAAATCATCCATATCACTTGTAAGATCTAAGCGGTAATATATTATATTAAACTATCGGAAGTGAACACCTTACTTTTTCCATTTAACTTTCAGAAGCTACACAACACCTTTTGAATTTTTTAGGAATCAGCATATATATACAGCCTTCTGTGTCATAAAGGTCTTTCTTAGAGAAAACTTCTAACAATGAGCTCTTTCTCTAGAAAGAGTTATTTTTGAGTAAATTGAAAATCAGTATCTAAATGATAACAGTTGTTATGCTAATATACAACAACTAACTTCAAGTATTCTATATTTGCGTTCTTAAGAGCTAGAAACAGCAGGTTTTGGAGTCTGTTGTATCCATACCTCTAGCTTTAACATCCGGCTGTCCAGAACACTCTTGTCTGCAGTGGGATGACAGTAGGAATCCAGCATGTGAACTGCATCAGCCACCCAGTCCTGGAGGTCCTCGATACTGTGCGAGAACTGCTGATGCTCTGCTACAACCCTATCCATTCTGGAAACTTTTTCCTGCAATTCATATGGCAGATTAGCATCAGCAGCTATTCAAAGGATTGCTTATTTCTCATAAATACTTATGGACTTTAGAAGGAGTTTCATAACCTATACTCAGAAATTCTCTGCCATACACTGATAGTTACAAGTACACTTAACTGAGCATGGACTGAATTTTGCATACACATACACACAAATGAGTTGTCCAAACATAATATACAAAGGAAAATATAAGAAATGCCTTTTTTTGCTGTTGTTTTCTAAATGTGAAGCTTCATTTAATTATCTTCTTTCATCCAAAGCAGAGAACTTCCTGGTTTCACTTTTTCTTTAACATCTGGCAAATCACACTTAAACTGAGTTTCAGTGTTGGGATTGAAGATAACTTGTGAAGTCTGTCAATGTACAAGATATAAACCTGTACAGATGTACAGATATAAACCTGTTAAGCTATGTCATTGCAATGACATTACTCTGTTGATACTTGAAAAGGACAGACCTGTTTTCCTCAGTGACTCCCACTGGTATAACCATTCTTCTGAAAAATCAGTAATACCCATATGAATCAAAAATAAATGTTCAAGTTACACTGCTAAAAGGCCTGAGATGAACAGGAATAGTATGACAGAGAACTAAAGCCAAGTCAATCAAACAGGTGCAGAAGTTACTTAGATGGATTTTTCTCAAGCACATACAACTATCCTAAGAATTTCAGGACTTCCCTCACAGGCTGGATCATATGTATCTTCTGCTTCAGACTCCTTCTTTTCATTCTGATGTCTCCTACAAATTGTGTCCTCATAAGACAATGTTAGTGACTCACGCATCTTTCCCTTTCTTATGCTGCAGCCATGAAAATTTATTATGGCTGTGTATCCAATCATTTTCAACAAGTCATACAGATCTAGATATGCTTTATAATTTTTATTTCCTCAAAAAGAAGCAGAAAATAACAAACTAGCAATTGCCTAAACATACTTTCTGAACTGAATCGTTATCCTGTAACACGCTTCCCATAATATTGTTCTCCTTACTGTAATACACGTAAGCCTAATTCAACATCGAGCCTCCTTCATGATGAACTTTGTAAAAGATAACAGTCCCAATATGAAGACCTGCTCATGTGTTTCCACAAAAGAGGTAGTAAATTATTAAATGGTGAAGTGTGTCAAGCACCATTCAGCAAAAGAGAGTCACGTTAAACTCCCAGCTCCTATCCCGATGCTTTAGAATTTGGCCTATGCCTCCCCTTGAACCTTCAAAAACAGCCTAAGAGGTAATTTTTAGAAGAGCAATCTGTAAGTTTTAGATGAAGAGTCTTACAATGCAATTATTCATCATTATAGGAGGCAATCAAGTACTAAATTTTCTGTATTCTGTATTTTCTAAAAAAAACCCCAACAACCAAAACTCACCTAATTTTTGAAAAATACTTCTTTCAGGTGCCACTTACCGCGAAACTAAATGTCTTCAATGCTCAAAATAGTAAAAATCAAACCTGATTATTGTATCCCCTGATTGTTGTACAATCAGATGGGGTTTACTTTTTAATCAAAACACATTGAAAAAAAAAAAAATCACAGTTCCATTTTTTTGACAGTCCATGTATAATTCCATGGTCCTTACTTCCCACTCTTCAAAGCCAGTATGAAAGACGAATGCTCAGACACACCACACAGCAGACAAGCAAGACAAATGTGTTTCACATTTCAGTCTTTCTTTTTCCCCACATACATCAAACGAACTGCTTAAAAGCACAAACATTGGGTGCATTACCTTTGTCAGATTGCTTAGAGTAAGATACTGAGAAGACAACTGAGACACTCTGCGCATAAAGCTTTTGCTGACAGCTTGCTCTTCCCACAGCTGCTGAGCTTTCTCTTTTAGCCTGTTGAGCTGATGCTCGTGGCAGCTTATTTCCTCAAGGACAGACTGTAAAGCACAAGCACGTTAATATTAAGAGTGGGTGCAAGAAAGCAGGATACAGAGAAGCATGAAGGGGCCCATGAAAAATAGAAGTGACATATGGCAAGCTTGCTCAGAAAGGCACACCAAACAGCTACAACAACAAGCAGCATGTCACAAGAAATGTGGAGATGCAGAACCCAATGGAACAAGACCATCAACAGCAATCTTTGAAACCAGTTCTCGCCTTATTTAGAGGTCAGGATGCTGGAATGGATCAAGCTTTTGTAAAGAATCAATGAGGCTAGGAGGATGGGACAGGAAAGTCTTGCTGTGTTTAAAAGGCTTCTAAGAAATCACCTGCAACTTCTGCTGTTCTCTCCTCTTGGAAGGAAGATCATGGAGCCGACTGCTACTTCCTTGGACCATCTTCTCTGTTGTGGTCAGCCACTCCTGCAGAGGCTCAGCAGTTGCTTCAAATTCCTTCATCTGGATCTGTAAGTTCTAGGAAGACATGCACAATTCTATCAGGAGTCCCACTGTGCTGGGCATAACTAATAATAACAGTACAAGCACAGGAAAAGGATATACAATTGCAACCAAATACCCCACAACTTTTAAATTAGATTACATCATCTCTGCTCTTTCCTATCCCACAGACACTGAAAGAAAAAGTCTGAGAGAGCAGCTATCTAAGAGGCAAAATAGAGGCAACAACGTAGGATATGTCTACACAGTTGCAGGGAGGTGGAATTCAATTTCCTCTGAACCGAAGGCTTTACAGATCTTATGAACTTTGACTCAATGTAAGTAACTCACCCAGCTACAGCAGTCTGTGAAGAAAGGCTAATTTGGGATACAAGTTACCTAACACCTGACTGTGGTCATTCACAATGACCTCTCCTTAAATGGGCTGCCACTATTCCTAGGTGATACATGACTAAGTTCAACCCAATCCTGACAATCAATTCTGATTATAATCCATTTTAGTGAAAAATTTTGGTTATAAAAATGTGTGCATAAAGGCACACATTTCAGTGTCTCCATTTTTTCTTTCTTTTAGTCATATTCTGCATGATCAAAAAAAAAGAACATGTGAATTCATATGGAATAGAAACCCAATCAGCATAGCTCCGGTGCTCTAGCTACATTTTTCCCCTAGACTGATTTAGTTTTCTTCTTAACAGTCTTATCACTTAAACATCAGAATGAAAAACTAAGCACATGAGACGGAAAAATGCTTGACTCGAAAAGATTAACTTCTAAGAACATCCTTTTCCATAGCAACTCTGAAGGGTAGGTCCTTGGTACCAGAGAATTTTCTTTGAAAGGCTTTCAAACATGATATATTAAATGTTTTTGAACTTTTTCTCAGCTGACTAGGCAGCATTGGTTTGAAACCGGAATGCCGTTTACTCTCCTATGCTATGCAAGGAATTCCAGCTAAGACCTTTTGGCCTTAAAACTTATGACCTTAAAAGAGATGATGTTTTTAAGATGTTCACCTTCTGTGCTGGCTGAATCGTACATTCTGAACAGAGAAAGGCACTGGGGTTTATTCAAAAAGTTGCTCAAATAAATCATTACATTTCACCATTTTGCAGTAAGAAAGACAACATTTACACACTGTACTGAGACTATTCAATCAGCAACAATGTCACAAATTGGTGCCAAATCAGTCCATGCAAAAGAAAATGTGTTTTAGTAATCCAGTACATTCGATGCGACTCATGTTAATGAATTTCAACAAGTGCTGTCTTTTCTACCCTCAGTCACTCTGAACACTCTTCTCCATGAAAGATCCCACTTAAAGTGTAATCAGGTCATAACAAATATGTAAACAACAGTAAAGTATAATCAGAAGAATGAGATTTCTTGAAAACAGCTGTTTATTAGTTCTGTCACATCATAAATACTTACAAATATATAGGAAATCTAAATTGTGCTGTTTGAAATAGAAAGCAAAGAGGAAATTTAGATCCAATCTTTTCCCAGTGTGTTCAGTACCTCCAATGCAGATTCTTTCTGGTGGAGGGTGGTGATAAAATTTTTCCAGTCTTCTTTAGTGGTAGCACATTTGTCCCGGATAACTTTAGCCTTTTCCTTTGGTAAAACAGAGCACAGCAGTTCTCCTTTGGATGCCACTACGTTTAGTTTTTGTTGCCCGTTCTCACTTTCTGATAAGAATTCCTACAAATAGTAATAAAAGACAGTAATAGGTGAACTTTTTGTCCCAGTAAAGGTCAATGGCAAGCCCCCAGAAAGTTTAACAGAGATAAGAGTTTACTGTTTCTGCTTGTTAACATGCTAAACCATCTTTCAGCATACTCCATTTTAATATCATTCATATTCATGGAATTCAGTGACAACACCTACTTAATCCAGAAGTGTCACGCATCTAAACAACGTATATATTAAAAGACTCTAGCATAACCTCTACGTTCTGCATTTCATGAGACATCTACTAGTCATGTAACTGGGTATTATACTTCTTTAAATCTCCATGATACAGTTTCATGGCAATAGTTTCATTTCAGAGAACCAGTACCCTGGGACAGGTAATAGTAGGAGCTGGTACCCACACTGAGGCACAAGCAGGCCTGAGGCTGAGCCCACAGGTGACAGCCACACTGGACTTCTGGTGAGCATGCAGAGGTGCTGGCTGTTGCTTAGATACTGAGCAATGTCTAGGCTGTGTGATTTAACCCTCCACATAATTAATTTACCTTCCTTGTTTGAAAGTATTTTCCTTGACAGATATCCAGCACACCTCTGGTGCACAAGAAGCGTGTGGAAAAACGTCTGTGCAAGAATTACACAAAAATGTGAGGAAACAGACAGATCTTTAAACTCTAGTGTACTGGGATAATGTTCTTATCACTTGTGATTATAAGAAGACTTTGTGAGCATCTAGGACACAAAGGAATTTAGCAGTCTCACATACTGGTATTTTAAATGATTATCACCATGGTTATGTGATATGAAAGAGTTTTATATCCACAATCATAAGATTACATCCATGCTCTGAAGTATCAGGCTTGAAAGAAAAATTACTGAGTCAGGTTCTCATCTGAAGTTACACTAGAGGTCTTAGTAGAGAATACAAAGTATCTGACAGCTTTGAGATACTTGGTTCAAGTTCTGGCCATATTAAAATCAAAGACATAACTGCCTTGTGACTTAATGATGTCAAATGTGCTAAAAGACACAAAATTAACTTCTAACAAAAATTAAATTTTAAGATTACAAGGGTTACCAAGACATATCTAGAAGTCCTAAAGCAATTACTGCATCATACAAAAAAAGTTTATTTTATCTAAAGTAGTTTTCAGCAAGTAGGAAAACTAAGTAGTGTCTTACGCTATGAAGGGCATGCAGTAACAAAAAAAAACAAACCCCAAACCCCACCTTGCTAAAACTCTTATATTTAAAAACTACTATCCCCTAATATTTCCTCTGATTTTGGGGTATATTTTGCTATTCTCATTTTTCCATATTAATACAGTATTGTTTATGCTTTTAAATAAACCATTTAAGTAAGGGAAAGTGAATTTACAAAAAGGAGGAAGTGATTTGGGTTTTGGTGTTTTCTGAGAAAGTGTCATCAATTTCTTCTGTTACAATATCTAACTGAAGGTTTAACAGCCTCATTATGTAATTCTCATTCTGCTATTTTCAGTTAAAATTATAGTTATACTCTATTCATAAAAGGTTGGGTTTTTTTCACTTGCTTTACTAAAATAAACTTTTAATTAGCATTTCCATAGACTTGTTTGGTATTTTCTTAGCTTTACATGAAAAATATGCTTTTAAATGCCTCTTTGCACTGCATACATTTTAACTCTGTTTTTGCACTACACGGGCTCTACTTTCATATGAGAAAAAATCTCTGTGTAACTTTGAAATAATCCTAGGCACTAAGTCCCAATGCTAATATTATCCTGATTCTACTCTCCTACTTCAAAAATGTTTGTTTTTTTAATTTTAAAAACAAACAAAGAAAACTACTAGGAGAGACAATGACTACATACAAACAGTAGCCTACGAATTAAAGTAAGCAAACTAGCTTAGAAAGGGAAAAAAAGTGCTTATTTCCTTGCAATTGGTCATCTTTACTGTTGACAATAATATTAACAAAAAATAGCAATTAAGCAAGCAATTAAATCTGAGCTTTCTGTGAAACTGGCTGGGTTTCCCTTAGAGCAATATTTTACTATGACAGAGTTACCTGTATTTTCTGAAGACTTGCGGAAGCTTCGCTGATATTTTGAGGCACATCAAAACATTTGGCTGTGGCGACTTTTGCATTGACCAGCCACTGCTGGAAGTCCCTGAAAGCCGTCCGAAATCTTTGCTGCAAGATCTGCTCTTTGCTCTGACATCCTTTTGAAGCTTGCAGGCAGAGGCTGGGTTTGTCACATCAGGGAAGCAGAAGAAAGAGAGGGAGGGGAGGAGGGAGGAAACGCAGGACTCTGTTAGGTGACGAAGTTGTTACTTAGAACTCTGAAATACATCAGTAAGGTTAGCTTAACCTGGATTCCTCCTACCAAATTTAAGCACTTAACTGTGGCACCAGAAAATCCATTAGACGCTTTCAGTTCCCTAAAAGTTAAGCATGTAAATTGGGACATAACTGTCACAGATACAATAGGTCTAAGTGTTTCCAGAGAGTGACTCGGTACACCTAAGCATGAACAGTTTTTTGCAAGATCCTTTATCTCTCTAGGGACAAGATGTGGAGCTACATCAATTACAATTCTAATTTCTGTGGCTCAGTTAAGTTCGTAATGCTACAAGCCATCAGTCTGGGTCAACACACCTTTCTTCTGCAGCAACAGAGGCCAAAAGCTATAACCCCCTGAAAGAAACAACACAGTCTTGTGTCTGAAATGCAGGTAAATCAGCTAAAGTGACCTGAGAGAAAGCAAGAAAGCAAGCAAATGCCAGCTCCCCTGTTTCAAGGAACCAGCTAGTCAAAGAAGAGTAAACTGAAAGACAAAAAGATGTTTAATAGCTAATTTAGTTTGCTCCTCCTGCAGACAAATAAACCATAGTGCTACCTTAAAGTTTATTACAAAGATTCCTCCTGTAACAGATTAGGTGAGGATAGATGTTAGCTTCAGCTGAATTTAGTGGTATAGCCTGGCTTTTAGAAAAAAAACCCCAACAAACAGATTGCTACCTTTTACAACCTCTGTTGACACTAAAATAAAAATAATCTCCTTTCTAATTCTAGAATTCTAATTGATAGTTCCCTAAAAGGCAGCTCATGCACACACACACACATATAAAGGATCTATTAATGATAAACAAGATGAATGTGTACCTGTTATACTCCTTAATCAACCCAGAAACTTTTGAAGAATGAGTACTCAAATCTCTGGAAAATCTACAAAGATCATTTAACTGAGTTTTGATCTCATCTGTCATATATTCAGACTTTACCAGAGCATCCAAAGTTTCCTGTTAAAACAAAACAAATGAACAATATTGGTGAGTAAATAAAAAAAAAATCTTTTTAATCAAAATTTATCAGAATTTAAACCCAACTTCATATATGATCTATGCATGTTCACTTTCAAGAGTATTTTAGCAGTCAAAGCTACAGAAGCTTATTTGAAATTATAAGCTCCAGGAAACCAAATTTCTGGAATCCTCAACTTTCATAGCTCAAAAGGCTCCCATAGAACAGTTTAAGAAACAGATCTAATTTTAATTAACAAGCTATGGTATTGCCAGTTAGCTGTATACCTATAAAAATACATACAAATAGTGAATAGCAAATAATATATTTTTATATAAATAAAAATAGTTTGTTGGCTTGAGTTTAGCACGTTCAATAAAACCTGTTTTGAGGTGTATCCAAAAGCTTAATTTACGTACAAAGAGTAAATGGGTTACTGACTGTCATTGCTACACTGGAAAGACTCTTGCTTTGGATACAGCTAAGCCAACAAAATAATGCTTTTGTTGGCTTAGCCTACGTCACTGGGAGAGGTGTGATAAGCACTCCAACAAAAACAGTCCTTGTTGACGTCCACAGCATCTCCACTGCAGAATCCCACCAGCTACTCCAGCATAATGAGCAGTGCAGACTTGGCTCCCTGTCTCACTAGAAACTAAATTCTTCAGGCATTCCTCTCAAACTACAAGGAAAAAAGACAATCTCCTAGCTAGTTACATTCATGGCGGCAGAGGTTCTGCAGCACAGGCAAGCCAGAGTGTTTGACATTTATACATTAGTCTGGCTAAATCTAAGTGCCAATCTGGAAGAAATGCACAATATAAACTTAAGAAACAGATCATGTGAAAGCAAAGACAGAATTGAATCAGGCCACTGAAGTGGGACAAGGAAGTCTTCAAGTCCTGTTTCTGAATAGATATAAAAAAAAGATGACTGAAAATACACATAGTAAACTATCTGCAATAATCTATCAGCACAAAATTGAACGTTCAGTTCAAAGGTACAAATGATGTACAAGAAAATTCATGCAGAAGGCTTTCAAAATACCACAATCTACATGACAAAAAGAAAAATGCTCACTGGGTAGATTTTTCACTGTAAAATATTAAAAACCTCTGCAATAAACAGATATCCCCTTATGTAAATCAAAAGCAAAAAGAAATATTAGCCAAGGTCTGGCAAGCCAATCAACAGACTACTAAGAACAGCAAATGGACTAAAGCCATGGATTCAGTTCATGCGTTTGCTGCCCACAAGCATCTTTGTGCTTGCCTCATATCCCTTTTCCTGAAAAAGTCTGCAGAACTGTGAAATTATTTAAGATTGATATCATGCATTTAAAAAAAAAAAACAATAAAAAAAAGAGAGAGAATGCTTCTTTGTAGTACCTTAGTACCTGAGCTGCTAGGAAAAAAAAAATCACAACAATTTATTTTGAGAAAAATAGAACTACAAGTATGTATTGACTATGAATAACAGTGGTTTAGACTATAAACACAGCTTGATTATATTAACATTACTGAAATCTGTTTGCATTTATAGATCACAGGGAAGCCCTGTAAATTAAGTCTAGAGACATTTCAGATGTTTTATGTGTACAAACTTTCATGCATGAAAAAGTACTTTGTTACAGCATATTTTCAGGACTTTTCTGATTTATATTATTTATCCTCATATTATGGACTTAATCTCCTTTTGTCACTCATACACCAGAAATCTCTTCAGCCAAAATTAAAAGACACTTGAAAAAGCCACTCTGACATTTTGTTTCAATGTCATATAAAGTAGTAATTATGTAATAAACCCCATACTTAGAAAAAAATGTAAACCACCTACTTTTTGTTTATCTTACTTTATGTTAAACTACAGACAGGACATTCTTTGAAAGCATTAGGAATAACAACATAATGACTGTTACTTAAACACAGGATGTTACAAATTGCATAGGGCAGGAATGTCCATAATGAAACACTAACAGCTTTTTTTGGTAAAGTAAACTTGTTCTTAGTGTAGCACAGGGTTAGATTTGCCTATGTTAATGAAATTTTTCAGTTTCGAATAACCTACCTCAATAACCACTAAAACATTATTCTGATGACATACAGCCTTAGGCACAACCTATTAATAAACAGGAACATTAACTTGCAAACCAGGGTACATTTACCTATGTCATTTTTCCTTAGAGAAACACCAATAGCACTGTTGCAGCCACCTGGATTTACTTTTGGATCTGACAATTATCAAAATAATTTGCTGAATTTCAAGTGCAAGATCTGTTGCTCTTATGTTACACAGATATAAAGGAACAGAGCCTGAGAGTATCAGCATGAGTTTTCTATTCCTGAGAACTAGGAAATGCATTTTTAATTTGTGGCCTTGGCTTACATGGCAACAGTCACTGTGAGAAAATGGAAATGGAAAGCTGCAGTGCTATTTTACATTCACAATAGGACCTATCCCTGGGGTCCAGAAATAGAAGGATTACTGTCACATTTCCTCTAACCATAAATAAAATTATACTGTAGGTCTGTGCAGAGTAAGTCTTGAGATTCCTCTGCAGTTTCCTCATTAGCCAGTTTACAACTGTTTAGTCTAAATAAGGCATTGTTGCTGTGAGCTACAGCACATACACAGTATATATACTAAGAATAAAACCAATATTCTTTGAATTTAGTACTCCATTTATAAAATAAATCATGTCTGGTAATTGTTGCTGTCTGTTGATGACAATTCCATGTCTTCCTTTCCTTTTTAAAAACATATAAACATAAATAACATATAAACAGAATATAAAGAGTTTGCATATTTGTTCCATTATTTGCGCCACTGTAAGGCCAGCTTTGTCACTCCTACAGATGCTCCAGTGTAATGTCAGCTTTGTCACTCCTGCAGATATACACTGGCTCTCAAGCAAGCAGGTTCCATAAATCTGTGTCAGCGAATTCTGTGAAAGGGGAAGTCACAGAAATAACTTGGCACAGACATGGGAGGAGGAGATTTATAATCTCAGTTCAAACAGAAGGTGGTCGGGGTTATTTTGAATATTTCTTCAGTCACGGGGTCAGAAAGCAGGCCTCCCACAGCTTTCTTCCTTTACTCATACTGCTTTACTACAACACTGCCCTGAAAGGGAGTACACTGTATCTTTTCTCAAAATCTGTGATTCACAGTAGTCCAGACACATACGAACATGTACCTTGATTGTTCTGAATGTATATATACTTATTGATATATATAACATATGTGAGATACATAAATGTGGATTTTTTTGCTAGAAGACATTAAGGAGCAGAAACAGCATCTCTATTTCTCTGAATTCCACTGCACTCCATAGCAAAGCAATTAGCAATTATACTGGTTTCGAGTAGAACTTCTTTAAATATCGGGCAAGATCTCAACGTGCACAACGCAAAGGATATTTCAAGCAACAGAAAGTGTAAGCTCAGTACACTCTTGACAAACGATAAGTAAGAAACGGTTCCAGCTGCTTCTTGGCTCTTAGGAAATGCTTCCTATTTCCCCGACCAAGTGCTGCTCCAGCCTGAAACCCTGCGCAACTTGGAAGAAGCGTGTTCGGAGCGGGAGTGTTAGCTCCTTCAGCTCCGCAGAGGCAAGCCCCCCCGTTTGTAAGAGCCAAGATGCGGGCAGCATGTGCTAAGCAGGGGCCGAGGAGAGAAACATCTTCCGCAAGCGCTGCACTTGCACAGAGGGTTTGGGAAGTTGGGACTCCCCAGAAATACTTTTCACAAATCCACTTTATTGCTATTTCCCACTTGACAGTGCCTCTGGGCGCGTCACCGAAAAGCTGCCGGGAAAAAGAGACGTGACCTTACTTTCTCCTTGCGCCAGCTCTCGGCGACCTCGGCGTCGGTGTGCCGGCCGTCGAGGAGCGCCAGGCTC